GCTGTTTGTGCCCCTCCCCCATTAGTTCAAGGTTCCAGGTATTTGGTGTTAAATGTCACATACAGATGCCAAAGGTGGGGCTTGTGAGAGCCTGGTAGTGAGAGGCTGATGCAGAAAGCCTGCAGTCTGGGCACTTGTTACAGAGCATGTGGGATTATCCCCAAGGAAGTTCCTTCACAGTCAAAGACTGTCTTCAATTTGGTTCAATTCCTTTTAACTGAAGTCACAGCTGGACCCCTCCACCTCATCACATATCGGTGTTTGTACAATGATGATGATCATGTTGGTGGCGGTGGTGATGATGATAATGGTGATGATAATGTGATATGATGATGGTGGTGATAATGGTGATGATGGTGATGATGGTGGTATGATGATGGTGATGATAATGATGATGATGGTGATAGTGGTGGTGGTGATGATAGCAGTGATAAACGTACAATGGTGGTGGTGGTGATGATAGTGGTGATGGTGATGATAATGGTGGTGATAATGGTGATGATGGTGATGATGATGGTGATGATAGTGGTGTGGTGATGATAGTGGTGATCATGGTGGTGATGATGGTGATGATAGTGGTGGTGGTGGTGATGATGATAGTGGTGATGGTGATGATGATGGTGGTGATGATGGTGATGATGGTGGTGATAATGGTGGTGATAATGGTGGTGGCAGTGATGATGATGGTGAGATGATAATGATGGCTGTGACAGCAACTGAAGTTCATGGAATCTTATTATGTGCCTATCACTGTGCTAGGTACTTTGTTTTATTTCATTTAACATGCAAAAGAACACCCCAATTATTCCCCAGTGTACGTAACAGGAAAACAGGCTTAGAGCGGTTAAGGGATGCCCAAAGGCATCATAAGTGGTGGAATCCGTGAGCAGCCCCGGGTCGCCTCTAACCTGCAGTGCCCCTCCCAGCCACGATGACTTTCCTTCAGACGCTGCCCACTCCTTCATGGGGAGGCTGTGGGGGACAGCCATACATTTAACATCAGCTTAACCAGATTGCTAGATGTTTCCACCTGACTTCTCTGTTATCAGAGATAGACGTCACTCCTTTCTTGTACAGATAAGTGACCTGGAGCCAGAGAGGTGAGTGATTTAAGATAGACAGCAAATGAGATTTTAAGAAATTATTGACGTTATTATAGATGTCCCCACCCTCCCCCTGTGTCTGTCTCCCCGGCCCCCGAGCCCCCTTCCCTCTGGCCATCCTACACTGTTGTCTGTGTCTATGAGTTATGCATATTTGTCCTTTGGCTAATCCTGGATTTGAACTCAGATCTCTCTCTTTCCATCAGACCCCGTGACAGACTGAAATTCAGGGCATTCTCCACTTAGTCACCAAGTATTCCTTGACTTTCTCTGGTGTGTCCGGTGCCGGTGAACAGGTGAACTTGACGCTGACCTTGTGATCCTCCTATAAAACTCATGCTCGGTGCTTAGAAGGGCACCTTGGCCGGCCTGGCCCAGTGTCCCCCGTGCCTGGCCATCCTTACCCGGCTGGCCAGAGATCCACGTTCGCCTGACTTCCTCCTCTTCCGGAAGCTGCTTTGGGATGCCTCTGCCTCCAGGAAGAGTGGAGGCACCTGGTCCTCCGGCTCCTTAGAGAGGTCTGACTGCCCACGAGGACAGAGCCTTTGGCCAGGAGCCCAGAGGCCACGTGGTCTGCATTCCGGGGTGCCCCCATGCCAGTCCCTCCGCCTCGGGAGGGCCACACCACGGGGGGGCGTATCACGTGTTTGGTTATTTTCCTCTCACTTGGAATGCACTTTGACATTTAAAAAAAAAACAAATAGCACAATTTCCCCTTAATAAAACACAGAAACGAGAGCAAGAAAGGGAAAGTCAAACCGTGTTGCTGTCTTCTCCCTCTGCCTCCCCTCCAGATGGGTCTCTCCCTGAACCTCAGTCACAGACCCTCAGGCTGGGAGTGTCCTCCATGTTTGCTGCAGTAGAAAGGGGCGGCTCCACGGCTGGGCGGCACATCTCGGGCCCTTTGTGACCTGGGGGACCTTGCCAGTCCCCTCCCATGTCATCAAAAAGTACAACGATAGAGGCCGAGTTTACGGTGGAAAACCACCAGGCTGCTCAGGAGGAACTTCTACGGCAGGGGCGGTGCCTGCCCATTAAGACGGAAGGGAAAGGATGTGGGCCGGGGTGGCACTGAGCACCCAACACACGGGAGCGGTCACATAAACCTCAGAAGAGAAACCTTCAGCGTTCAGACTTAGACCCATCCGCCAGTCTGCACCTGGATGGATTCTGCAAATCATCTGACGAGGCCCTGCGGGTTTCCCTGCCCCCTCAGCTCTCCCACCCCCTCTCCGCCCTCCGCCCGTTTGATTCCACAGACTTCAGATGACGAGGCTTACGGACCATGGAGTGCAGCCCCTCATGCCAGGAGGGAGTGCTGTTGTCCAGGGGACACGGTGGCCCCTGACTCTAGAGCAGAGCTGGGGGTGGAGCTCAGCCTTTGATTTGGTTCCGGACCCAGCGTGTTCAGTGTGCTCTCACTCCCTGGCTGTCCCCCACGCCCTGCAGGGAGCATTCTGCACACACCAGTAAAACAAACAGTGTTTATTCATCGGGTCCCGGCCTGGCTTTGCTCGGAACCCGGGCTTCATAGCATGACTGGGAGCCAGTCTCATCCTGCAGGCGCCCGAGGCCCACCAGCAGGGGAAGACACTTCACTAAACATGGGGACAGAGAGGGCACATCCCTCCCCCAGTTCACCACGTTTCTTCTGTGCAGGAGCCCCAAACTCTGCTGGGCACTTACACGTGTTCCTTATGACGGTATGTGACCCGTCTAACTTCTATTTTATATATTAGCCTAGGAGTACTTGTACTGCATGTTTTCCCACACCCCACCCTTCCTGGGGTGGCAGGAAGCACCGGAGACAGGTGCCAGGGGACATGCTACCAGCCACCTGGGCACCTCGGGAACCCTCCCAGCCCTGCGAAGCTGCAGAGATGCCCGGGGAAGGAGGCTTGTCTGCCCAGGTCGGAGGTTGCTGGAAGATGAAGCAGCATCGTGCAGTGAAAGGGCCTGAGGTAGAAGCCAAAACGAATGTAAAGCCTGCAGTTCCCTGGCCTTTCCCACAGTTCCCTGAAGCCACACGTGTGTCTGCTGGCAGGAGGCACGTGCAGTGGCCAGCGGGGTCACCGCCCGGCCCCTCGCAGCAAGGGTTGCCAGAAACTTAAAAAAAGCTGGCCCTGACCTTGGAGAAGGTAACAGGGCATGCTCGCTAAGTGGCATCTGGCCTGCGCAGGCTCACTTTGCCACAGTGCCTGGCGATTCTAATGCAGCCCGACAGCACAGGGAGAGGCCTGGGGAAGCCCGGGAGCCAGACCTTCCTGGGGTTCTCAGGTGCACCCCAAGCCCCGCTCTGCTCCCCTGTGATGATGGGATAGTGGCTTCTCCACCTCAGAGGGTTGTTGTAGAGACTGAAGGAGTTAGCCAAGCTCAGCACAAAATGAATGCTGGCGAACTGCTAGCCAGCTTCATGCTTTATGGACTGTCTGCCTGGGCCTGGCACCATGGCCCCCTCCTGGACACACAGACCTTAGGACCCAGTTCTGAGGTTGGGGTGCATGCCCCAGACACTTTGCTTCCCTCTTGGGGACACCCCCCTTGGCTTCCCGCTCCTCCCAGTGTCACTGTAGCTCCTGTGGGAGTCAGACCCCCTGGGCTGCCCATCCCGGCAGCATCCAGGCCTCAGGGATCCTATGGCATCCGCATTGGCGTCCCCTGTGGGTGAGCAGGTTTCCAGCCCAAACTCGAAACTCGCTGGGCCCTGGGGTGACAAGAAGGAGCTCGGAGAGCTGGGAGCTCATGGGTGGAAACTGTGCTGCAACTGGCTTCCACGCGCGCCCCGCCGCCCACCAGCATGAGGGCTCTGCAGCTTCCTCGCTGGCAGCGGTGTGCGGGCCGCGGATCCGGGGGCGCGGGGAGCCGGGTGCAGGCCCGAGCGCCCTCGGGAGGCGATTACCCTTGGAGGGAGGAACCTTGGAGGGGAGGACTCCAAGGCCGTGCGCCGCGCCCGGCAGAGGCCTCGCAGCCGCAGCCGGCTGGGAACGGAGCGCGGCAGCCCCTCCTCGGGAGGCGCTCCAGCCCCTCCCCGAGCTCCCCACCCTCCGTACGCGGCTCCCAGCCCCGGCAAACCTGGCCCGACCCGCACCCGGGCCGAGGGCCGCCCCGCGCCTCCCCACAGCCAGGAAGCTCGGCCCTCCCTCGGCCTCGAAGAGCGCCTGGGCGGGCGGACGTCCCGGGAAGGCCGCCGCCCGCGGCCACGTCCCCGCCCTGCCCGCCGCCGGGGAGCGGGCTCCGTCCCGGGCTCCGTCCCGGGCTCCGTCCCGGGCTCCGTCCCGGGCTCCGTCCCGGGCTCCGTCCCGGGCTCCGTCCCGGGCTCCGTCCCGGGCGGGCTCCGCGCAGCCTCGAGGGCCCGCGCCGCCGGCGCCCACGCTGGTCCCGCTCCGCGCGGCCGGCCCGCCCGGCAGGTAGGGGAGGCGGCGGGGCCGCGGCTGGGCGGGCGGCTCGGAAAGTTGATTTGAAATGCGGCCAAGAGCACGGGGCAGGCGGCTCCGCCCCGGCGGCTCCTCTGCACAGCAGCCGCTCCCGGCACCGGCGGCGGAGGGCGGAGGGCGCCCCGGGCCGGAGCGGGGACCGCGGCTCCGCCATCCCGGCCGGGGCAGGTGAGGGCGCCCGGGACGGCCGGACGCGGGCCGCGGTGGAGATCGTGGTCCCGCGTGCCCCGGCCTTTCCGCCCATCCTACCCGGGAGGAAGCGGGGTTTGGGGGGGACTCCCGGGGCCCCCGCAGGGGAGGCTGGGGCCGGTGGGGACGGGGCGGGTGGGGCCGGGCCAGGAGGGGACTGGGCAGGAGGAGGACGCGCAGTGGGGGGCGGAGGCCGCAGTACATAACGCCGCGTGGACTTCGAGTGAAGTCAGAGCAGTTGGAGCCGCTCGCGGTGACTCGCTCCCCGCCCACCCCGCGCTCCTCCCGCCGGCGGCCTCTGCCCCCAGCCCCGCTCCCAGGCCGCTCCCACGTCGTTCCCGGAGCTCGGGGCGGGTCTGGGGGCACGGGCGCCCAGAGCGGCGTTTCCCATCCTCCGCAGGTCTCCGCGGCCCGGCCCGAGCATGCTGGACGGCCTGAAGGTGGAGGAGAGCTTCCCGGGCGCGATGGAGACGCCGGCCGCCTTCTCCTCGCTGCTGGGTGAGTGAGTGCTCGGCCCGCGCCCTCGGCGCCCCCTCTCCGTGGGCCCCGGCTGGAGCCGCTGGAGGGACGCGCTGCGCAACGGGGAGCCTGCGCCCCGCTTCCTGCACCCGGCGGAGCCCCGTCCGTCCGCGGCCCCGGTCCCTCCGGCTCCAAACCCACCGAGGACCTGGCCTGGCGCGCGGGCACCGCAGGCCCCGGAGGAGCTGCTGCTCGCGGGCGTGTGAGTGACAAACGATTCACAACCACCAGCGCCAGGTTTTCATCTCCGAGCGGAGCGACGTCTTTCAGATGCTGCCCTCCCCGCGGCCTGGAGGCTCCCGGGTTCCAGGAGGTGCCTCGCACCCACCGCCTGCGCCCGGGCCTCGCCCGGAGGGACCACGGCTTCCCAGGCGGCGGGCAGCGCGGCCAGGATCAGCCTCTCGGCGGGGCCTCGCTCCGCTTTGATTACCCGGAGCCGGAGCTCTTCCCGCTGCCCGGCCCCTCCGGAGGGCCTGCGGGGCACTGCGCGTCCAGGGCCTCCCGAACCTCGCCCGCCCGGCTGGCTCCTCGCACCTCTCAGGTCTGCGGTGCCAGCGCTCCGTGTGTCTGTGAGGGAGGCGTTTTCGTTTCGTCCAGTCCTTTGACTCCTTGGGATCTGCCAGCGCGGGGCGAAGACCGAGGGGAGCAGTTCGGGAGAAGCCCCGTGTAGGGGAGCCCGCAGCTCCCCAGAGAACAGTCTCCCAGCTGCGTCCTTCTCTCCCAGGGCCCGTCCGAACCTTCCCGGTGCGGGCGCCGGAGGGCGTGGGCTCGGCCGGCAGGTCCTGGCGCGGCGCGCCCTCCGCCCGAAGCGGGCAGCAGGCAGCGGGTGCCCGGGCTCCGCGGGCACATCCCCGCCGGGAGCCGGCAGACAGAGGAGAGAATGTCCGCAGCGAGAGGCGTCGGCCCGCTCCCCCGGCTGCCCAAGGGGCCCCGCGACCGCGGCTCTCCAGCCCGGCGGCCTCAGGGGAAGCGCGGGGAGTGTAACTGGGAAGGGCAGGTCCTCAGGGACATCATGCTCAATGCTAGTTCCCCGGAGAGGCCCCCTCAACAAGGTGAAATGTGCCAACGGAGGCGGCCCAGACCCCCTCCCATCCCCAGGACTAAAGGACCCGAACGGGAGTCCGAGGCCAGGACCCAGAGGGAGGGCAGGCGCTGAGCGGTCCGGTCCGGCAGCGGCTGAGCCCGCAGGCCCTCGGTCCGCGGCCTCTCCCCTGGGCTCCCCTTACGCTGCTGCCCCGTTAGGAAAAGCTGGTCCGCAGTGTGCACAGCGGCCCGGACACAGCAGTTTGGGGTTCATTGGTTTGAACAGTTTGCCTGATGCGAGAGGGCATTTTTCTGTACGCGGGACTTTTTGGGACGAAAAGAAAAAAAAGTAAAGTCTAATCTCTCCTCAAAAAAAAAATCTAGAACTTCGTTTTAGCAAAAGTAAAACGAAATAAATTGTTTGTATACACGCAGTTTTACTGGGTCAGTGGAGACTCGCAGAGGGCGGATTTCATGGCCGATACCCGGAGCCCAGGGCATTGTAGTCTATGGTTTCCAGGACGTTTGATAACTAAAGCCTCTTACAGAGTCCTCTCCCTCCGCGGTACAAGCCAAACCTTCCGAGTTTATTAGCGGTGCCGCCTGGTTTGACTTTTCTGTCTCCAAACCGGGCTGCGAGGCTCACAGGGGGCTTCCGGTGGCGGGGCCTCAGGGGCCTCCGCGGAGTGAGCGCTGCGGACGGCGCAGCCCCAGAGGCGGAGGCGGAGGCGTCTGGGTGGCAGGTCCCGCGGAGGAGGAGGCTCACCGGGAACCCTTGTCGCTGCAGGCCGGGCGGCGAGCCCCAGGTCGGTGTGCGAGGGCTGCCAGCGGGTCATCTCCGACCGGTTTCTGCTGCGGCTCAACGACAGCTTCTGGCACGAGCAGTGCGTGCAGTGCGCCTCCTGCAAGGAGCCCCTGGAGACCACCTGCTTCTACCGCGACCGCAAGCTCTACTGCAAGTACGACTACGAGAAGTGAGTGTCCGCGGCCCCGGCCCTGGCGCGGGGAGCTCTGGAGCGCGGAGAAACCGGGTGCCGGCCCGGGAGGGGAGAAACGCAGGGACACCAGCTGCCCCGGATTCACAGGGAGGCTCCCCTTGGTGGTCGGCGGGCCCACTTTTCGGTCCTCTTGGGTCCCCCGCCCCAACGAGGGACGCCCGTCAAGCTCCTTCCCTCCAACCCCCTTCCGTGGGGTGCCCTGCTGCAGCCAGTGTCTCCTGGCGGTTCCCGGCCCACCTTACCCGCCTGCCTGCGCTCCCCACACGCTGATGCCAGTCCCGAGGCTGCTGGATGCCGAGGCCCCGGTCCCCTGCGCCATTCCCCCGGGCTTTGTCACACCCTGGGGTCCCCACAGACTGGGCAGATGTGGAGCTGTGGCCCGGAGCATCGGTGCACCCGTTTGCCTTTTCTCTCCCTGTGCTCTCCCCGCCCTCAGGGGTCCTGCGGGCTGCTGGGCCACCCTTGGGCCTCTCGCAGTCCCAGTTCCATCCGAGTTCCATCCGAGTTCCATCCCGCCTCCTCCAGGTCCCTGGCTTGCGTTTGGGCCACAGGGCAGGGGAATTCCTTCCTTTGTACAGGAGCTGGAGCGCCCGGTGTGCTTTGAGGTGAAGTAGGAGCCAGTATTTGAGAAAGCGATTACTGGGAATCGGGGACTTGTGCTACCTGAAGCCTGGGTGAGGCTGGGAGAGCCTTCAGGTTGGCTCTGAGGAGCTTGGAGGGGGACTTGCTCTCCCTGTCAAAACGGCTAATTAACTGGAACTTTACAGTGCCTCAGAGGGTCTTGAAGGACCCAACGCGACTGAGACCTAGGCCTGTGTCTGTGCTTGGGGCTGGTCTGTGTGGCGTGGGCGCGGGAGCCTGGGGAGCATTTGTGGCTGGTGAAGGAAAGGGCAGCTCTCTGAGGGTGCTGGAGGGGGTTCTGAGCTTTCTGAGGGTGCTGGAGGGGGTTGGGTCCCGCTGCTACAGACACACAGGCAGGGGTGCACAGTCTCCTTGGAACAAGAGCACCAGGAAAACAAATGCGTTCCTCTCCGTGTCACCACGTTTTGGGTTTAAATGTGACAAAGCTGTGACACCGGTGAGCCCACACCAGTGCTGCTTTGCATGAGATACCTGAGTTCACCCCATGTGGGCAGAGGGCAGGGCACTGGTGTGTTTTGAAGAGATACCTTTGCATTTTCAGCCCTAAAAGCTGATGTGGGGTGAGCTGTACAATGCAGAACAGGAGAGAGAAAGCGCGTGTCTGCATAGGCGTGGCGATGATGGCTGCACTGAAGGCAGAGGCCTGTGTCTGGCCCTGGCCGGCTGCTCCTGCTGACCTGTCTGAGGAGAGGCGCAATGTTTAGGTGATGGAGCATTCTGCCCACACGAGCAAGTCTCACCTCCGGAGAGAGCTCCGGTTTGGCCTCTTGCTTTCTGCCTGGAGGCGGTGGATTGTGCAGACCCAATCTTTATCTTTCTGCTTATCGACGATTACCGAAATGTCCACATCGTTGGGCAGAACACTAGAAGATTCAACAGCATTGGGGCTTAGGGAAGGGATTTGGGTTGTGAATTCCTATTCTGTTTGTTAAAAAAAAAAAATCAGAAAAGGCTGGAGGGTCAACACAGCTGTGTGGCCGGAGGTCCCCTTTAAGGAGCCAGGCTGTGTGGAGAGGAAGCTGCTGTAGGCCCTTCACACAACCACGTCCTCCACCCCAGCCCCAGGCTTGGCGATCGCTGATTAGCCCACTTAGGGTCCTTTCTCCCCTCGAAAAACGGTTTCTGTGGAGAGAAAATTGCAGGGATCAGTTAGCCAGCTGTTGGCCAGAGCCAGGAGGGCTTAGAGAGGAGGCGAGCGGCCATGCTGTTCGGAGAGGGCGATGGTGCTGGGAGGGCTTCCGTTTTAATTTCCACCAACGCTTCGGAAACACAGATGTCCGAGACGGGAGCGAGGATGCCGCGGCTCCGTGCCTGTGTCCCCCGCCTGGCAGTTGCCTTCTTGGATTAATTTTATTCCCCCGTCCCCTCCTCCTCTGCCCCCACCCCACCCCACTCCCATTCTTCTTCCAACAAAACGGGGCTTTAATATATTTGACCATCTCCATGGTGTTAGTCTGCGTGGTGGGGGAGAAAGGGGAGGATTGTGTCTTTGTTTTAAAATTGGGCTCAAGACAAACTCCTTTATTATTGCAGGGACCTGCTTCTATGTGCGGGGCAGGGCTGTGTGTGTGTGTGTGTGTGTGTGAGACTAGCCTCAGTCTGCCCTCAGGGGGCGGTAGCCAGCGCCTTTCCCATCCTGCCCTGGCCACCAAGTGTTTCTGGGAAGCCTTTCTCCCGAGGGTTTGGGCGGGAGCCGGGCGGCAGTGTCCCGATGGCCAGGCACGTAACCTGGAGAGGAATACAGTCCAATTTTAGATCAGAGTCACAAAACCGAAAGCTCCTCTCCTCTCTAACACGTGCATTTATAAACACAATTTTGCTTTTCTTTCACTGGATCTTTTAAAAATTTGAGGCCCAGCCGAGGCAAATGGAGAGGAAAATACGATAGAAGTTGAAGTGGTTGGACACCATTTTGGGGGATTGTGGGGTGCATCATAGAAAATGAGCATCTGGGAGGTGTCCTGTATCCAAACACATGAACTCCAAAGGCTCTCTCTAGACACAACAGTGACGAGGCAGGCAGCTGCCGTGCATCCGGGCGCCGTGCACGCCATGCTCACGGTCACAGGCATGCTGGTCACGTATGTTTCAGCCACTCGTATGTGCATTGCTGGCTATTGGGCAGTTTTGCACTTGAATTATTAGCTGCCAGTTCCTGGTGTCAGGCAGCCAGTTAAAAAGTGAAATTTCTATTCTATCAACTAGTCATCACACCCTCTCAATGTCTGATTAAAAAAAGGAATGGACAGGGGTACCTCAGGCGCACGGCTTCTCATTTGAAAACTTCAGGATGCGCTGTTAAATATTTCTGTCCTGCACGAGGACGCCCCGAGGAGCAATCCGTCTCTGAGTCATCCAAAACAAATAAGCATCGAGGGCCGGAGTGGAGAGCGCTGATTTACGCACGTCCAGAAATGAAGAACTGGGCGGGACCTTGATTGTTCGGGAAAAAGACTGGTCTGGTCCGGCGGGGCAGCTCCTGGGGTCGGAGAAGACGGTGGGCGGCACGTTCCCAGGATGCTGGAGGTGCGGGTGGTTCAGGACTGGACCCCGCCGTCTTCCGTGTTCCCAAAGCGAGCAAACGAGCAAAATGCTTCCCAGCCTCGAGGACTTCTATTTACAGAGCTCTGGTCCCTATGGAACGGAGTCCTGCGATGTGGGGAGTTTGCGGTTTTCCCTAAGTTTTTCCAAGCGAATACTGCAGTCGGACCGAAGCAGAGGCAGGAGAGGTGCGGAGCAGGGCGTGCCACACAGTGGATCCCAGGCCTCTGGAAGGGCTCCAGGTGCTCCGGTGGGTGCTGTGTCCCCCTGCGCCTGGCGGCTTCGCCATCTGCAGGGCACGTTCCCCTCACCAGGGAGGTTTATCATTGTCCGGAGATTGCGCCGAAGCCATCTGGGATGGAAGTGCTGTTGTCCGGGCTGCTCTCCCAGCAGCATAAACGCCTCCCGTGTCAGCAGATCACAGGCCTGGGAGCCTCTCCGGGGACCCCGGGGCCTCCCCTCACTCAGCTCTGCGGAGAGGGGCGAATCGGGGCTCCGCACACAGCCCTCTGAGAACCTACCTCAGTAGCATCCCTTTTTGGACTTGCCAATTGGCAGCCCCTCGGAGAGGATGCCTGAGGGACTGGCCTTTGTTGGAATCTGAATGGACTAATTGTGAGTTTATCAAGGTCACCGAGGATGTGCAGGGAGGGCTGTTAGTTTGGTTTTGTTACGGGGACACTCCGTGGAGATCTGAATTGGGCCCGAAGTTCCTCCTCAGATGAGCCACCCATGAAACGGCAGAGGCCACTGTTCCATTTCTGCTGGACTTTCTCCGTGGCTGGCCCCGGGCCGGGCATAATAAAATGCAAGGAACACAGCAATCAGACACAGCTCGGTCATAAACTGCCGTCTGGGTTAAATTGCTGGGGGCTTAGCCTGGAATATGCAGCGCCATCCCCAGGCTGTGGCCGTGTGTGTGTGTGTGTGTGTGTGTGTGTGTGTCTATGGGGTGTGTGTGTGTGTGTGTATGGTGTGTGTGTGTGTGTGTGACATCCTTTGCCTTTTATTCAGAGGGTGATTGGAAACAGTCCTGGCTCAGAGGTGTTTTCTTTTTTTTACATATTGGTCCCCGGGCAGGGCTTTCTTGGAATCTAAGACTAAACATTCTGAAATAAGATCAGATCGCAGGCGGAGATATTCGTGGAGTCCTGGGACCTCGAGAGGAACGTGGCCTGTGGAGGGGCTGTGGGTGCCTCTGACTCTCTCTAGGAAGGGTGAGGGTCCCGGGCGGAGCGGTCGGGGACGTTGTCACCCCCCTGGCTACGCTGTGCCTATTGCTCTTCATCGTTCCGTGGCAGGGACTTTCTGACAGTTCGCTGTTTGCTGCGGTTTTTAGTTTCATTTTTCCTATTTATGGTTTTTGTCTTCACCAAAATCCTGTTGGCAATTCTAGAGACGAGCTCTCACTGCCCCTTCTTAATTCTGGGAGGTTTTTGCAGATAATGAAGATGTGATGTGTCTCCAGTAAGAACAGCTTCATTTATTAAATTATCAGCTAATTACTGTTTCATGGTCAAAGAAATGTTTTGTGTCCAAGTATTTAGAAGTGAGAAAATAAACATAAACAAGGATTTAGAATACTCATGATATTACCAGAAATTTAGTGAGGCTACTTAGACTATGAGCATACATAAAATGTCGTTATTAAATTATATCATCTAAGATACCTCCTATCGAGTCAGGTTAACTTGATTATACAACACATGGCAATGAATTATGGGCAAGTGGAGTCACAACCATCGTAGAAAGAGTTAAAAATCAGTCCTGCCTTCACTCTGAACTCTCCTTGA